TATGTAATACATATTCCCCCCCCCTTTTTTTTTTTTTTTTTGAGATGGAATCATATCTTCAAATCCTATTCCAAAGCTATGAGAGTTACATTTTTTCTTTTCCTGAAAGCAGAGATTCTCATCTAATCAAGAGCCTCAGGGGACAGGGCTCTGAGGAAACACCAAATATTGTGAGAGTCGGGATTGCATTGCTAGGCATTTTGAGGGGCTGTCAAGTAGTTAGAAATTGTTTGGCTTGTAACTCCCTTGGAATGGAAAAACTGAGCTTTGAACTGCCTTTACAAAAAGGACTACATTGCTGGAGGAAGGAGGGTGACAGGCAGCTTCTAAGTGGTAGGACAGAAAGAAAATCTGTGGAAATGAGTATTTTTAAATCAAATATTCAAGTTCTGTCGACTTATTTTTAAATCAGCTCTACACACAATGAAACCTAGTAAGTTTGTAACATCAGAAATCAACAAGTGGAATATAATTAGATAGAATGGCACCTGATGTTTTCTCAAACTCTTACAATATTTTTATTTTGGTGCTCCTACTTAACATAAATGCTCAAAAACCCTGGGAAGAGGAAGAGGGATTAACTCCTTCACTTAAAAAAATCTCCCATCTTCAGCAGAACCAGGGAAACCCAGGTTTCACATTCCTGGGATCTCTAAAGCAAGCTCAGTCAACACCAACTTTTCTTTCTCATGTGAGGCTGGGCCTGTATTGATGTCAAGTCCCAGGTCTCGCCTGTATTCAATAATGTCTAAGGTTGCTGTGCGATGCTGGCTCCAGCTCTCTGCTGAGGAATACTGCTGCCACACCAGCTTCCTTACATGTACATCACACCACAGCGGCTCCAGTTCACAGATCAGCATCTGAAAGGCAAATGAGCTCTAACTGCAGTTTCAAGTAAGATGTTGAACTGTGAACTGGAGTAGCTGCAGCAGAGGTGGGCATCCCCTCCTGCTTCCCTTGCTGCTGGAGCCATAAGTTCCAGTATAAGTTGTGTAAGGCACAGATAATGGTTTTAATTACCAGTAAGGTTTGCCAGATGCCAGAATCTTGATACTAGTAAAATTCCAAGTACTGGACACAGGTACAACACTCTAAACTGGTTTACCTTCTTCCAGATATGGGCTGGAAGGCACATCCTATGAGGAGCAGAAGAGGAGGCTGAGGGGTGACCTCATCACTCTTTACAGCTTCCTGAGGAGGGGAAGCGGAGAGGGAGGTGCCAATCTCTTCTCCCTGGTATCCAGCAATAGAACATGTGGGAATGGTTGAAAGCCATGCCAGGGGAGGTTTAGACTGGACATTAGGAAGCATTTCTTTACCGAGAGGGTGGTCAAACACCAGAACAGGCTCCCTAGAGAGGTGCCCCAAGCCTGTCAGGGTTTAAGAGGCATTTGGACAATACCCTTAATAATATGCTTTAACTTGGTCAGCTCTGAAGTAGTCAGGTGGCTGGACTAGATGATCATTGCAAATTCCTTCCAACTGAACTATTTTATTGTGCTCTATCTTTATTGACCAGCATCTTCGCACAGTGCGACTAAGTACATACCCATCCACTGTAGTGCTGCAACTGTGTAACTTTAAAGCTTCAAAGTTCTAAAATGAAGACAAGTCCAAAGACAGAAGAAAGAATGTTATATGTCAGACTGACTTTATATCACATAGAAAATAGAAGAAGCAAGTACTTTTCCTTTTCTCCCTTCCAGGTTACCTCTGAACGAAAGTTTTCACAAATGAATTGCAAATTCCAGGTGCTTTTACAAACTTAGGACTATTTTAGAATTCCTTTATCATCCAATCACTTGTTTCTCCACAAAATTCAAAACTGTACACAGATTCTAAAATTCACCTTTCTGCTTTATGCCAGCTGCTGCCACCTACGGGTGTGTTTGTGTTCAGGGTGCTGCATGTGATTTGATGGCTAAGAAAAAGCCTGAGGAAGCTGGTTTCTGCTTTCCACTCCTCCCTTGACTATCCTGAACAGCTCCACAAACTCTCAGTGCTCTTTTTATGGTGGAACAGAGGTAAAACGGCAGTGAGCTGCTGCAGGCAATGGTGCTTTCTCGGAGTTTGTAAATCTCTCCAACACCCACTGATTCAGAGCAGGAGACCAATTCGCCTCCATCCTGCAATCCAGACTAGCCAAAATTCACCTGTCAAAAGCATTCTCCTCATCCAAGTTGCTTCTGTCTTTAAATCCTTTCACTCCTTTCCTCTCTTGTTGCAAGAAGTTCCAGTTCTTTGGCCTTTTCAGCTTCTGGGCTTGATTCTCTATTTTCTCCATGTCACACCCTTAGTCTGGAACAGCTTTCCAGGCTCCTTGAAATTCAATTGGTTTACTTGGCCATTTAACAGCTCTTCTCTGCTGTCTGCTCCCACCTTCACTCTTAATCTTCAAGTACATCTGTCCAAATTGCATTAAATGACAAGCGAGACTGCAAAATGCTGAGCAAACCCTGTCTCCTTAGGTGTTCATGAAGTAATGAATACCACTGCAGAACTGCTTCAACGACAGCAGTGAACAAAAAGCAGTGAACGAAAATGTCACTGGCTATTTCTTTTGTCTTCTATTTTGATGGAAACAGAAGGCATGAGGGACAGGAGAGAAACTTGTTTGCATTTAAGTTGGTCTGGCACTGACAGCAATTCAAAAGCAACAGCACTATGTCTGTGCAGTTTGACAGCGTAATGAACCAAAAAGTCATTATAAACACAAGTAGAGTTCAACAGCTGATTTTTGCCAACTACAAAGAGTGAAGAGCAAAAACTGACCAAAGGACATAAACAATACTAAATATTTGGACTGTGACAGAGACTGTAGTCAGGGACAAGGCATTGCTGTGCTTTTGCTGTGTGCACCCACAACTGCACTTGTAAAGCAAGGGTCAAGGGAGAATGATGAGTAAGAAGGCATGTATGTATGTGACCATTAGGGCTAAGCAGATAAACTCAAGAAAGGGATCTAGTATAAAACACAGGAAAGGGAGGAAGAAGAATATATTAAGTATTCAGGCAAGTCGGAGCTAATAAAATAGTTGCAAGGAGGAAGGCCTAAAATACTGTCGGACACTGGATGAAAACCGAGGGGCCACACCAGATCCATCAGCAAAGATAAAACCCTACTGTTGTTTTGATGATCAGATACATAGGTTGGAGTTGTCTCAACCAAGAAGCTACAAACTTGAAATAATTTGGCATTTATTCTGGTCACAAATTATCTGTGAATCACTTTTGAGTTTTCCAAGCTTGTTTGTCATTCTAGATGGTCCAGACACTTCATGGCACAAAAATATTCCAGACTACCCTGTGCTGGCAAGATTGTTGAATGACTGTTCAATATGATCAGCCAAGTAAGTTATATAAAAAAAAAAAAAAAAAAAAAAAAAAAGGAGGAAAACAATGGCCTTCTCCATACGGACAAGAACAGAACCTGCAGGAGTAGAAACCTAAAGATTCAGTTGTTCTTTACCTCACCATGAGGAATACCCACAGCACAGCTGATATCACTGCTACCAGTAATGGAGCGCTATCCTGGATGGACACATTTTATCACCTTTCCCACCGCACAAAGGCAGAAATTACTATAAACAACTTTTTGATCTTTTCAGTGTAAAATACAAAACCCAGAGTGAAGTCTACTGACAACAGGTTTGCTTTGTTTAATTATGCTCTCATGAACAAATAGCTTGTTTCTGCAGACTACCAGTGGTCTACACATCACTGACTGAAAGGCAAAGTTAGCTAAAGAATTACAGCAGTAAAGTTCACAAACACAAATTCATACAAGCACTTGCAAAACCTTTTTTTCCACAAATGAACTTGTAAATCACCCAGATTCATTGATTTGCATGACCATAAGAAAAAAAATATTAAGAAGGATCTTGAATGCCACAGCACGTTTGAGATTAATGCACAGATTGTTTGCTTGTTTACCATTCCAACAAAAATAAAATGGGTATTGGTAATTTTATGCAGATCTCATCCCTGCAACTTTCCTGAGTGTTGTGTTCCGTACTTCTATTCAGTTCTTCGGAGAGCTTATTCTGCTGAAGAGAGCCATGGCTTCTAATGAGAGCCTTCTGCAGATGCTTGGCTTCTATAAATCGAGCATTAAAGCCATATTTACATAGCTGGAGGTCTAACCCTTCAACTCAATCAAGACTGAAGCAGAATAAACAGATGGCAGAAGACTCGTGATACGGAGCTGACACACCCAGGAATGGGAGAGCTCTACGCTGCAGGAGAAAAACAGTTAAGTGGGCTGAGAATCATTCCTTCTTTCTCTAGCTGACTGTGAGAGGCTGTCACTCATGATCTCCTCCTCTGGCTACTTCATGGCACATGGGTGGCTGCTCTCCTATCTTGCACTAACATGATTTTATGCTACGTATTTCAATTACTCCCTGCATAAAAATAGTATACATGTATAATTCAGGCTGTGATCCAAAAGTCCACCCCCTTTCTGACAAGAGGGATTAATCTTGGAGAATACCTCATACTTTCAGATAATTCCACTCACTTCTCACATTTCCCTCAAGTTCTCCACCTTCATTTTCCCCCTCCCACACACGTGATGTCGAGGGAAGGAAAAGTGAGTGGGAAGGAGGGCAAGATTCCCTTGTATCAGCTCAGGGAATGACAAGAAGCCAGATCTTCTCCCACGCTGACTGGCACACGGCAGCTCCAAGAGAACACAGTCTGCCAGCTAAAGGGCATGGCCAGCCCCTTCTCTCAATTGCCATCTGCAGCACGTACCGGCTGGAGGTGCACACTGCTCAATCCTGGGGAACTGAAAAAGAGATGATACACCACCATTTATCTCTGCTGGTGTCACCATCTTCCATTCTCCAGAGCTTGTCATGGCATGATTTGGCCCCGAGGCCTCAGACCCTGCTCCAGAAGCCCTAAGCCAAACTAGAGGTTACAGTGTCTGTGGCACAGGGTGCCTGCGGCAGAGCTGGAACGCTGGTAGCCAAGGACACGATGGCCTCTGCCACAGTGCTTGCTGAGAACACCAGCTACCTCTTCTCCCTTTCTTGCCACTGGCTCCTTTTATGAACCTGAGCTAGGGACACTTGTTACAGCTCAGCCCTGCAGCCCTATCAGATGCAGATGAGGAAAATTACATCGGACAACTGAAAATTCTGATCCAGGATGACTCCAAGTGGTTGTGTCTATCACAGTGCATGGAAGCAGTGTGTAATTTCAAGGCTGTTCTGCAAAACAGATTGCAAGTAGATGGGCTAATCAAGATTTTTTTTAAAGTTGTATTTTGACTGAATTTCAAGTTTTGGTAAAGCAAAAGTTAACATTCCCTGGGTATGAAAAATTTCCTACGAGTCTTTTGTAACATACGTGCAAAGAGAAATTAAAACCCAGTTTACAATACATCTTAAAATCTGCAGTTTTGGGTCACTACATAAAACCCTGAAAATTAACCAACTGAAAAAAATAAACATAAATAAAGAGAAATCATTACTTCTTCTGTCCAAATAGAGTAGTACCGCAAAATGTAAACAGCATAAAAGAAAAAGACACTGGATGTTTAAAATTCTCAGGTTTCACCCTCATAGATAATTTCCATAACACAGGAAAGATAATTTAACTAAAAAAAGTAATGGCTTGCAAAGTAGTTGGTAGCCTGCATCAGAGCACCACTTCTAAGTGGATATCACTGGTTTGAGATAGTGGGCACTAATTAACATGTCAAATGCACACGTCTTCAAGCAGTGGAACACTTGGTTTATTCGGTGTTGCCCATTTTCTTGTCTATTCTAGTGGCTTCTGACCCTTTATTGCAATTCCACTGCAGAGTCTACACGTGAACGACACCTATGTGCAAAACAGATGAGGAATAAATTCGGGAACTGAAAAACAGAGAACTTCCATTACCACCTAAACACAGTCACACTCTCCACCTAAGCAGGCAAAATATACAGCAATCCTGTGAAACATCATTTTAACATGTTATAAATCTGGACTACAGAAATTGCTGGGAATTTTGCTATTTACTTCACTGGGAACAGATCACACCCTAGATGTGAATACTTCACACCACCGCAAATATTATTTATTTTACAAGTGTTGCTCAGTTGATCGAGATGGCTGAAGTGTGACGATGACACAAGATCTCTTTTTACCCTGACTATTCCTGCCAGTAGATTTGTGCTCCTCCTGTTTCCCCTTGTGTGTGGGCTATGTGGTATACGACAGGATATGGCTGAGATTGTAAATAGCTATATTCTAGCTGAGTATATTATCTCGGAGTAAATTTTCTATCAAAATGCATTCGGTATTAGCAGCTCCATTAAGCAAATGGTTCATTTATGTATGGACTAAGTGCTATGCTTTGCATACAGAGTTTGGAATGCATCTCCAAAACGATGCTTTTTGCCAGTCTGTGAGAACACCACATGGAAGGATTTCTTTTAATCTGTAGTTTTTGGTTTGCTACTTTTGCAACAGAAGATCAGGAGGAACAGTGGTATAGACAGCCAGAAAGTACCGCTGAAATCAGCACATCAAATGAAAAACAAGTTTCAAAAAAATTTATCCACCTGTTAAAAAACAAAACAAAAATAGAATTAAAACCATTTTGGGCTAGTCCAGCCAGTCGGTGATAACACAACCAACATGGCTGCAAAGTCCAGATTCAACTCTCAAGCTTTCAAGCCAGCATGGCCAGGGAGCTCTACACACCAGCCTTCAGAAAGGAAGCGCTATCCGCTGGCATTCTTTACTGGCATGTTCTGTGTGAGGGAAGGCACACCACCAGCTACCTCCAGCAGCCCTGCAGCAGAAACCAGAGAAGAGCTCCAGGCAGATAACCACACCTCAAGCCAGTTCTGACATGAGGATGTCTTATGGGGATCTACACTCCTGGAATGAATGAACACTGAGGGTTTTCTAGTGTGCTGTGGAAAACAGCAGAGGATGAAGTAAAACATCATTCAAATGAGGAAAAGTGCATGGTAAGTCAGGTTTTTTCTTGTACATCTACAGTGAAGATGTAGCGTCTTCAATGCTAATGGAAAACTACGTTCACTTTGAAAGCTCTATCTTTGAACACCTCTCTGAGGACGGTGAGAAATTAAGTGCTAAATAACAATAACCTAAAACCCCATGAGAGCACCCAACCAGAGAGTTTCTGTTTGATTTATCACTCCAGGTCCCTCAGGTGGCTGCACACAAGGGCTGCAAAAACAACACACCTGAGCACGCAGCATTACATCTGGAAGCACATATACCAATGCTGTTCCTTTCACAGGAAAATCCGGAGGTATT